TTTTTTTTTTTTTTGGTTGTTTCATCTATATTTTGTTCTTTTTAGCATTATTTGGGATTGCTTAAATATTTGATATTATTTCAATTTCTCCCATTGTTAATTTGTTAACTACATATGTATTTATTTATTTTTCTGTTATTTTAGTGGTTACCTTCCTCTTTGATTTACTAATTTTTATTTTTTAATTTTATTTTTTATTAAAAAACCTGATTTTTAATAAAAAAATTTTTAACCTCTAATTTGACATTATAAGAATCATAAAATGGGGCGGCACCTGTGGCTCAGTAAGTAGGGTGCTGGCCCCATAGGTGGTGGGTTCAAACCTGGCCCCAGCCAAACTGGAACAAAAAAATAGCCGGGCGGCATTGTGGCAAGCGCCTGTAGTCCCAGCTGCTTGGGAGGCTGAGGCAAGATAATCGCCTAAGCCCAGGAGTTGGAGGTTGCTGTGAGCTGTGATGCTACGGCACTCTACCAAGGGTGATAAAGTGAGACTCTGTCCCTTAAAAAATAGAAATCATAAAATGCTCAATTTATTGTACTCCAGGATTAAAGCTTCTGCTGTTTTATGTTTTTATTATCTCTGTTTAAATCCTGTAAGACAAGGGGATAATTTATACAGTCAGTATACATTTCTGATTTTACACCTGGGATTAATGCTTAAAAAATAGGCTTACATTTTATATTTTTAGTAAGGGTTCTACTAATAATGAATTTTATGTTTTCTCTCTGAAAGGTATATTTTTGCTTGCTCTCAGTAACTTGTAGCACTTTAAATGTATTTTACAAAATTTCATTTTAAAAGTTGGCTATCAGACTTACTGTTTCTTTTTGATTGCTTTTTATCCATTTCATTGTGATGTTTTTAGGTACCTTTTGTTTTATCCTGCTGTTTTATCCTGCTAGAAAAATTATTGAAATAATTTGAGGCTAAGCAAGGTAGTATCTTCCAGACTGCATTTGTGTTGCTTCCGGCTCAGTGAGGAGCACCAGCTGTTGTAGAGCTCTTGAAAGGGGACCAAGTGGCTGGAACTGAGCCACAGTCCTCATGAGGGCCAGTCTAGTGCTGATTCACCTCGACCTCAAGTGTCTGTCCTTTGTGGTCTCATGGTAGGGCATTGGTGTTTCACTGTGGTCTTGGTGTCTCGGTGTATGTCTCTTCCTGTGTCTCCTCTCTTCTCACACACACCCTCCTCCACTACCACCACCACCCTCCTAATCCCCTAACCCTAATCATTGGCAGACTCTGAACTCCATTCTTATACCCTCTTCTTACAAGAACAGCTTTGCCTAGCCTTGTTTTGAAGTAGCTGGTCCTCCCAGGGAAGACTGGCCCCACTGCTGGGTCTCCTCTCTAGGGGGCTTTCTGGCCCCCTGCGTTTGCCCTGCATTTCTGGCTCGCCGCTGCTCTCAGCAAGAGGTTGCTTCGCCTCACCTACTTTGCTGTTACTGGAGGCAGAAGTTACTAGTTTTATATTTCTTAGTTGTTGGACCCATTTCAGTTCCATGTTCCTATTTATGTCTTGTTTGTAAATACTTCTAACAATTGAATGACCAAAAGTTATACTAAGGATCACAATGGCTCCGTGGCCTTTCAATCCCAGTATTTTAATCTTTTGGCTTTAAATTATTTTCTGATTCAGTTTTAGCATCTCTTTAATTCCTAAAGATACTTTAAAAAACAGATGACAGTCAGATTTTATGATTTTCTTGGTACTGTAAAATTGAAGTTTATAGTAGCTGCCTTTTTCATTAGGGTATTTTGTTGGTATACCGTTATTTTCTATTGCTGTTAAATCTTACAAGGTGATTATAAATAAGGATTAAATTAAACAGGAC